GACACTGGACAGTAATTATTCCTTTAACCCAAAGTAAAGATCATCTTTGGCAGGTGACCCAATTGTAGTATGTCTTCCTAAATTAAAGAGATGTTCTGAATTCTCTGTCTTTTGAGAATCACAACTCTACCTCTGGGTCTCTTTTAGCTTCTACTGCAAAATTTCAATAGTCTTAATTTGTTGATAAAAAAGAATCAAAAAAGATGATACTATCTGCCTCTTGACATTTTTACTTTTTTTTTTTTTTTTTTTACCATATCATATCTCGGGTGTGTAGGGACTATACCGTCTCTGTCATTACAATGAGTTGATAAGAAATTCTCCCAACCCAGGAGTAGCTGATGTCAGCTGGGATTGTTTTGCAGTCTGGGAGCTCTCGTTTTCCCTATTTCTTTGTTTACATATAAAGAGCTGTCATTACCTGTAGCCCCATCTCTGCCAATAATTGTAGCTAAAATTTGCCGTTTGTAATGCATACACACGAGGATCCAACATTCCTGCATAAACGCTTTTACTTAGCGTTCGGATGAATGTAAGATAGGGAGAAAGGGATCCTCAGGACTGACATGGGCTTGGTGGAACTTCCCCACACGGGCCAGCAGTGTCTTGTTGCTCTTTCCATCAGGAGTTAGAATCTACTTCTCTACTCTTTGCGAATGGTTTGGCCTTGTGTAATCCATCATTACACAACATGGTGGATGAGTTGTTTAAGCCTCAAGAACCCTTGAAACTTCAAAGTGATTTCAACATGGCTTATTCTTTCCATATCTGCCTAGTTACTGAGTAAAATGATCATAAAAACAATAGGGAACAATGCCAATGACTTCTTATGTGCAAAAAAAGTTTATTAGAAAGCAGAGAAACAACAAAACTCGAGAAATTCACTCTAGGAGAATATATAGGGTATAAATGGACCCCAGGTCTGAGAGTGTCAAATCAGTGTCACTCAGGGGTTGCACAGGAGGCCCGCCTTGCTGGAAGGATGATCTAGACTGCAGGGGTGGGCAAACTTTTTGACTTGAGAGCCACAATGGGTATAAAAGGAGGTGTGGGCCAAGGAGACCCCCACACTGAAGGTTTAACAATTAAAAGATAAATAAAAAATTGCCCACCGTTAATGCCTATGGTGAAAAACATACAACAGACCCAATGCTAAGTACCTCAGCTTGAAACAGTAAAATAAAGTCTGGACTCAGAAGAAGGAGCTGCGGCCGTGTTTCCCGATGTTGCCATGTTAACACTGCTGCTGGTGAAGGAGCGGAGGGGAGAGCAAGAGAACCCTCTGCTCTTTCGGCTCCGCGGGCCGGATAGAACAGCCGAACGGGCCGGATCTGGCCCGCGGGCCATAGTTTGCCGACGGCTGATCTAGAGCCTCCAAAGGAAGATAAGAACGAGACATTTGGAGGATTGGGATAATTTCCTATCTGGTGGATTACAAATTAATATAGAGTTGGTCGAAATCAAAAGGAAATGATAGCAAGGGAGAGAGTTGTAAATGAACCAGAAAGTGTTCACAAAGGCATTGGGGCGGTGGTGAGCTCATTGGATCTGAGCCCAGCCCAGTGGGTGACATCAGCCAGATCCCATGTGTCCTAAGGGCCATCACAAGAAGCGTTTACATCTGTGCGGACAGAAGTACATGGAGATGACGGTTACAGAGAAGGGGGCTCAGCAGTCAGGGATGGCACAGCACATGGGGCGGGGGCAGGTGGAGATGACACAGGTGGGGCAATAGCAATTGGTGGGGCAGGAGACCTGGCCACAGACTGGGCGGAGGCAGCAGCAGGGGGAGCAGGGGGCAGGAGACCTGGCCACAGACTGGGCGGAGGCAGCAGCAGGGGCAGCAGCAGGGCCGGCAGCAGCTGGAGCCACAGCAGCTGGAGCCACAGCAGGAGGGGCGGCAGCAGCTGGAGCCACAGCAGCTGGAGCCACAGCAAGAGGGGAGGCAGCAGCTGGAGATGCAACAGGAGGGGCGGCAGCAGCTGGAGCCACAGCAGCTGGGGCGGCAGCAGCTAGAAATGCAGCAGCTGGGGCGGCAGCAGCAGGAACCACAGCAGCTGGGGCGGCAGCAGGTGGTCTGGCAGCAGCCTCGGCCACAGCCCTGGTCAGAGCAGACGGAGCCACAACAGGACATGGTGTTGGAGGGTGGAGGTTCTGGGTGAGTTTCCAGGAGAGTGAGGTTTGTGTGTTTGGGGGTCTCCTTGGCCCACACCTCCTTTTATACCCTGCTGAAGAGCTGCTCTCACTATGTCATTATTTCCTTATTTTTATTTACCCCACTAGAAAGCTTAATTATTTAATTTCATAATTGTGTGTTTCTGGTGAAGTACTCAAAAAATGGAAGAAATAGCACATTTCCCTTTTCTGGTAAGTTTCTGTGTTCCAATTAAAAGAGGTGTCACATTTTTTTTTCTTAATGGGTGTCACCTATGTTTCTGACAGATGCAGTGACTTTTACAAGGCACTTGTCACATGACTCTGACATTTTGTTTGTGAATGGGACATTTCCTCCTGTCTGTACTGCTCCATGAAAATCATGGAGAATGGTCCTTACAATGCTGACCTATCTTTTGTCGGCATAGATGAGGGGAACGCGTGCTGCTCAGGGGAATAGCAATCTATGAGGAGGATAACTGACCCTGTGTGGGCATCTTGAAGGGTCAGGGAAATGGCTGGACCCCAAGGAAGTTTCAAATTCTGTGTCAGACTTTATTTCACTGTTTCAAGCTGAGGTACTTGGCACTGGGTCTGTTGTATGTTTTTCATGATAGGCATTAACGGTGGGCAATTCCTTATTTATCTTTTAATTGCTAAACCTTTATATTTTATTACAGAAGCATTTGTTATATAAACAATATTTGCAATTATCAGGCCCTCGGTACCATGTTTCCATGACAAAACCAAGGCTGCCTTACTCTGGGCACATCATGAGAAGGCAGGCTTCTTTGGAAAAGACAGTCATGCTG